TTTCCCCTTTTCCAGTCAGTGGGGATGCTTCAGGTCACTTGTTGCGCAGCCTGTTATGCCAGCAAACCTTCTGTTACTCTCTGTCTGTCAGGAGAGATGAGTGTGTCTTAATCTTCCAGTGTTCTTGTTAGAATGTGCGTTTTGTCCCCAGATACCGTTCACCTGTTTCCCTGAGTTAATAACGTCTGTGATGGTAATTCTTCTCTGTCAGTACCCTTAACAGTGTCAAGTACTTTCCTAGACACTTTTGCACTGTCCAGCGTCAATTTTCCTGCATCTACAAGGTGTCTTCTGACTGTTGACTCTTAATATGCTCCAGTACTGTAACAGCACAGTCACTGAGCTAAGTCTTTAGCTTTATTTTTTTTTTTTTTAAATTATTTTATCCTACGTATTGCTTCTGTGGGAGTAAACACAGCAGGGTGTCTAAAACTTCTGCGTTTCATTTGTCTGCAGATAGTGAGGAATACAGACAAAATATTTTAAACATAATGCCCTTGTCTTTTTTAGGTGTCATTAAGAATCTTTGCTTTTACTTGGATACAGGCAGCCTCTCAAGGATGATTTGTTGACTGATGAAGTTGTTGTAATCAGACTTGTGTCTGATCTCCAAACATCTGGACAATATAATGGTCTTATTTATGTAGCTAATTTTGCCTCATTGATTTGTAATAACTTACATCTGTGAACTGTAGAATTTATGCACTGGGCATATATGCACAGCAGGCGTGTACTCCCACTCTTCCCTTACGTTTTTCCTATAAACATGCAAGTCAACTTTTATGCTACATTTTCTTGCCTTATTCTTTCTTCTCTTGCCCTCTTTTATACCTTAACTGCTTATGGCTTAATTGTTTTAAATATTACTATCAGACCAGAGGGAAGCATATTTATTAATTGATATTTTTGGTTTTTATTTGTAAAATCATAAACTTCAAGTATTAACTTTTTTTCTTCCCATTACAGGGAACAAATTTACTCTGGAAACTAGACCAGCCAAAGAAGGAATAGATGTAAGACAAGAGCTATTGAAGTTCCATTCTACTTATTATTCATCAAATTTAATGGCTATTTGTGTCTTAGGAAGAGGTGAGTTGTGTTCTGTTGGTTAAGACTTTACATGTATTTATATTTAGAGAAAGTGCATGCAAGTATCTTAAAATCTACAGAAGGGAAAAAATAGAACTTCTACAGACTGACTACACATAATTTTATGTCTGGTGAAGTCTCCAAAGCAAGTTGCAATGTATAAATTTGTGTTTATAAGCCTACAATAGAAAAAATAAGCTGAAAACCTTAAATGTTATTAAGACACCAGTTACTGTCATTGCATGTTTGTCTTATGGAGACTGATACCTCTCTGGTGTCAGATGTTGGGAGGGCCTTTGATACTGTTTTCATATTTTAGACTTACACTTCCACTACAGAAATCTCTGTATTGTTAAAGGATAAACCTAACCTAACTTTTAGATAAAAAGCATTCAGTTGTACTCCTGAATTAACCTAATGAGGTTGCAGCTGCTTAAAGTTTTCCACTGTCAGGATGGTATTTTACATAATTTGCTAAAAGCTCAATAACAGTATGTTGAATTCTGTTTGCTTTTTGAAAATACACTGTCAGACTGGTACTTGTATGGTGTTTTACAGTAATGCTTGGGTAGTGACTATGAATGGAATAAAATAAAATTCATTAGCAAAGTCAAGTCTTCCTTTACAACTGTCTGTTCACAGGATGCTGAATATGAAGCTGATTAACAATATGTACCTGTTTAATTTCAATCATAACATACAGAATCACAGAATGAGGAAGGGACCACAAAAAATCATCTAGTCCAACCCCCCTGCAGTGAGCAGGGACATCTCCAGCTAGATCAGGTTGCTCAGAGCCTCATACAGCAATCTTTTTCTAGATTTTTACGTTGGGCAAACACAGTGAGGTTTGTACTTTTTAACTGCTTCCAAGTTGTGTGCATAGACTCCTACCAACTCGTTGCCAGGGTCCCCAGTTCCTTTCAATTCAACTTATTATTGTGTGGTCTGCTGTTAACATCACATATTGATTAGAATATGGTGAAAGGTATTTTTTTCACCATTGCAAGTTGAACATTAAAATGTATTAGATTTATTTTTTTTATGGTAAAGGTCAGATATTAGATGTGTTACTAGCAGGTTGGTTGGTAATACCACTAGGGCTTAATGTATGTCATGTGCGAAAATAACTTGGTTATTCTCCTAGTAGCAGTGGAAACTTTCTGCAGGTAAATACTGTAATATTGATCAAGGTAGCTTGTAAATATTTTTCAATGTTGTGAATAAAGTTATATTACTATTTTGGATAGATTCTTTCACCTTCTCATTTTTTCTGTTACCTGAAAAAAAAAAAAATTAACTCCCTACCTTTAAAAATATTTATTTATTAATTTAAGGTAAATATATATTGATCAGAGTTTAAAACAACTGAATTAAAATTCTCTTGTTTTACAGTTCTGTTTTCAAAGTTTCCAGACTTCTGTTTGTTTTTTCTTTAACTAGTTTTTCACTGGACAGGTAATATTCCAGGACACACAAATTCTGTATTAAAGTGTCAATAAAATATAGAAAATAGCCTTAACATTTGTTACCTTCCAGACATTTCTGCATTTTGCACATATGTATTTTTTACTATAAAATACAGAAATTATTATTGTTAAAATCCTGAATTTAGGTGATTTTGCTAGTTATTTTCCACAGTTGAAGTCATTCATTGTAGTTCAATGTTTAGAAAAATTGGGAGCCTTTGAAATACCGATCTTTGGGATTTTTCCTTAAATATAATTTTTGAAAGGTAAGTATCAGACTTTGTGTTAGACTGCTTGTATGCAACATGCTGTACAACTACTGTTATTTGTCATATTTGAGTAGTTGTTATTGTATTAGTGAGGTGCTGTATGGATGGAAGTTGCATCTTACTACTCCCTGAAAGAGCACGTACCTTTTCTCACTCTGTTATTTATTTAAGCAGAACTATGCAATTGCTTTCCAAAAGGCTTTGTATTGATGACTCATTTGGCTAGTTGAAGGCTTGACTCTAGCATCAAATTTGAAAACTTAAGAGTGCCACATTCTTTCTGATTTTGTTTTAAAAAATTTATTTTCAGGGAACTCTACTCATAAAAAACGAATTGCAGAAAAATAAGCTTGTTAGGATTATTCTATAAATTCTTTCTTGAAATACCTTAGTAGCAGTACTGCTAATTAACACATAGTTAGAAATTCTATTACATAAAAATACACTGAGCTGCACACGGCAAGTCCCCTATGATCTCTATACTCTTGTGCATTCTGGAATAAATGGATGTCTAAAGCTACACTCAGCCTAGTAATTTTCTGATTTTTTCCCACCACTTTATATATGTAACAAATCTGTCAGTAAAAAGTGGTGGGGGGATCATAATAACAATATAAGCATAAAATAAGTATAATTTCTTTAGTAAATAGTAATGTATATTCAGAAGTTCAACTAATGAAATTCAGTTATTTTTATCTCTAATCAAAACCAAACTTAACTGCATAATCATGGAACATCTGTAGTACAGCAGTTCAGGTACAGACTTTTAAATGGAAACAGTGCTCCAAAATGCATTTATTTAAGCTGATAGCTATTTTGAAAGTAGTATTTAAACAGAAACTGTAATGGTCCATTTAGCTGAATTCATGCACAGTGTTTTATTCTTTCCACAAGTAGTCTCAGTCTTGGTTTTGGAGAGTACTAGAGTCACAGACTGAAACTAGAATGGATTTAAAAGCAGAAGTGCTTACACAGGTCACAGATGTGTGAGATGTCGCCATGCTGGGGACAGGTGACCCTGGCTCACAGCGTTTGTGAAGCGCTAGAGGTGAGATGAGGGTAAAAAACATCCAGGTTTTGTTAGAGGTGCTTTCAGTCTGGAAAATTTGCAGCTGTAATTCCACATCGCTTAAGTTTTTTTTTTTTGGTGGAGTGTTTGCTTTCGTAAATGTCTAGTATCTATTTTATCTTACTCATCAGTAAAATTTGAAGGTTTTTTTTTCCCAGGTTACAGGATTTACTTTAATCATGGTTGAACCCTTCCTTTAATAAGCATGGTGCTTATAGCATGTTATAGTCCAAAACTTCAGTATTAATGTAGATTTTCTTCCTGAAATTAATAATTATACCATTAAAACTACTTTTCTGTGTAATTCATGTCTTCCCCAAAAAAACATAAAAATACAGATTTTCTAGAATCTGCAGATAATGATTATGCATTTTCTAACTTTATTTTAGAATCCTTGGATGAGCTGACTTGCTTAGTGGTAAAGTTATTTTCAGAAGTAGAGAATAAAAATGTTCCTATACCAGAGTTTCCTGAACATCCTTTCCAAGAAGAACATCTCCGGGTATGTATAGAGATAAATCTTCCATCAGAGGGGCATACCTTAAATTATATTTTTTATGTTTCAATAATATAAAAGTAGTGAAATATACAATGTGTTGGTGTCCCTATTAATTTCCTTATTTTTAAAATAATTTTCCACCCACCTTTCTATGCTTAGTATAGCATAGTTTTATATAGTTTATAGCAGAAGTTGTACATTTCGTTGCAGCCATAAGCAACTGAGATAATTTAAGTCTCTTTGTTTGCATCATGAATGGCTAAAGTGTCGCCCTAAGTTTTACATCCCTTTACTTTTGAGTTTTTCTTGATATGTTTGTAATAAACTGTGTATGTGTGAAGGGAACACGATATGTGCTCCTGATATTAATAAAATAATAAGAATTTCCTTTTTGTTATGGATCTCCTTGTTAATTTTCCCCCTCAGCAACTTTACAAAGTGGTACCTATTAAGGACATTAGAAATCTTTATGTCACATTTCCTATACCAGACCTTCAGAAGTATTATAAATCAAATCCTGGACATTACCTTGGTCATCTGATTGGGCATGAAGGCCCAGGGAGTCTTTTATCAGAGCTTAAAGCTAAAGGTAAGTCCTTTGAAGGTAAAAAATTACCTTCTGTAATTAAATTAAAAATGCTGTAATAACTACATTTCACTTAAAGCTGAGCTCTGTATGTTCAGTTTATAGCCCCCAACTGTACGAGTAGTATGAGTTGTAAGTCATTTTGCACTTTGTTTTTGAATCTGTGGTGGGTGAAAATAAATAACAGGCACTCTGACTACTGAACTTGCACTCCCCTTTATCTACCCTTGTTTAGAGAGTTCTGTGAACTTTGACATAGTGATCTAGTCTCTACTATGTTGCTGACTTAGAGACTACTGTCAGGTCCCGTAATGTCTGGAAGACTACAGGAATGTATATTTTGCTATTTTTCTTTATATTACTGTGTTCCAAACAGAAATTAATTACCCAGTAATCAAATTATATTGAGTTTGTCATATCAGTCTGAGCACAAAATCAGATGTTTGACTTGTGTTATGTTTAACTTGCACTGTTGCTACAGGCATTAAGGAAGAGAAGAAGAATCATAAAATAGTTTGGGTTGGAAGGGGCCTTTAAAGTTCTTCTAGTCCAACCCCTGGCAATGAGCAAGGACGTCAGCTAGATCAGGTTCTTCAGAGTATTGTCCAACCTGACCTTTAATTTTTCCAGCATCTATCCCCCCTCTGCGCAACCTGTTCCAGTGTTTCACCACTCATTAAAAAAAACAACAACCCTCTTCCTTACTTATAGTCTAAAAGAACATGAAAACATATTTCTATATCTATGCTAAGAAGACATGTGAAGTAGTTGGAATGTAAAAAAAGGGCACAAATTGTTAGAGATTTTTTAATGTAATATATTTTCTTTTTGATTTTGTAGGATGGGTAAATACTCTTGTTGGAGGACAGAAGGAAGGTGCTAGAGGTTTCATGTTTTTCATCATTAACGTGGACTTGACAGAGGAAGGACTTTGTAAGTGAGGCGCTATGTTGGCATTTCATTTTAGTCCTGAGCTGATGGGTTTGTGTTTGTATCCAAAGAGACTCATTGTATTTATAGTTTGAAAGCAAATTGGTTTTAATTAGCTGGTTATTCTGTGTTTAGATCTTCTCTAACATGCTAACACATTTTATATGACATGAGAAACCAACTTATTTGTGGTTATATTGAATTATTTCATTAAATATTTTAAAATAAATTCCTTAACAAGAAAAGCTGTTAATACCTTTGCATGCTACTTATTTAGTAGTGTTTAGACCCAAGTTAAATTGTTATAAATCAACATATTAATACCAGGCATGTTCATTGCAGTTCTCAGAATTAGCTGAGGACCTAAACACTTTCCTGTCCTCTTCCAGTTTTAACCTACCTTCTTCCAGTTTAAAGCCATTACCCCATATCATATCACCTCAAGCCTTGCAAAAGTCCCTCCCAAGTTTTCTTGTAGGCCCCATTCAGATAGTGGAAGGTTGCAATAAGGTTACCCTGGAGACTTCTCTTCTCCAGGCCGCACAACTTCATCTCTCTCAGCCTGTCCTCATAAAGGTGTTCCAACCCTCTGATCATATTTATGGCCCTGCTCTGGACCCAATCCAAGCAAGTCTGTGTCCTTGTGTTGGGGATCTGGAGCTGGACACAGTACTCCCAGCAGGGTGTTGCTAGAGCAGAGTGGAGGAGAATCACCTGCCTCGACTTGCTGGCCAGGCTTTTGGCTCGGTGCTGGATATGGTTGGCTTTCTGGGCTGCTCTTGCACATGTTGAGTCAATTATTAAGCAAGTGTGTTTTTCTTTCCAGTGCATGTTGAAGATATTATTTTGCACATGTTTCAATATATTCAAAAACTACGTACAGAAGGACCTCAAGAATGGGTTTTCCAAGAGTGCAAGGTACAGTGATTGGTACTTGAAATAGCAGTGATTGTATTTTTACAGATTTTTGGATTTTAAGTAGAAACAGATTCCTTGGCTGTGGAAATAGCCTTTAATAATCACATGGTAATTAAGTTTTTTAATTTTAAGGGTGCAACTTGATAAAGATGATAAGTACATTCAGAATTTATTGTCTTAATGTAGATACGAAATGCTTGTATAGAGCTGTGAGTTGACATCTGATGGTAGCATAATGGAGAGTGGAGGAAGAAGTATCCTACTCTGTCTACAACGATTTTGCATAACAGTCTTTAGTCTCCACCGAAGGTGGAGTGGGGGAAGTGTTTGCTGTGGATGATAATGCTGAACTGGAAATTGAAATGGCTGTTTTTCTCTCTCTGTCTTCTTTCCAGTGTCACATTGTGTAGTTCAGATTGTAAAGGCAGTAGGGCATATAATCTGTTTATTCTCTTTTTCTTTTTTTTTTGAGAGAGATGAACTAAAACTTTTCATGAAGTATTTTGGCTGTACACTTCTTACAAGTCTGCATGGTTCTGTGTGCACAGAGTGAAAATGTGAAGTATCATTGTAGACTTAAATAGTACTGTGCTTCTTAGTGAGAGTGTGAAATGAAACCAGTTCTGTTTTTATGTGTAGCCTCGCTTCACTACAAATTCTTGGGTAAAGATTTCTTGTTCCATCTTTGCTGTATTTTGTGAAAACTGTTGAGTCTCTTCTAAGAGTAGATTTTCTGCAGATGCGTTAACTTGTTGTTTCTTGCATTTTGACCCTGTGTATGTTTTAAGTCTCTTTATCCTCTGCTAAAAGTCACAATGGAACTGTTTCACTGTCATTGTAATCAAGTACAAGATTTGAAAGAGGTAGTTCCGTCATCCCATCTCATCCCTGTCTTTCCCTTGCTTCTCTTGTGCCAGCCTCAGCACTTCTGCTGTAAGGCATGTCAGAAAAGCTGGCAAACAGAAGGGCTGGACTGTCCTCCTTATTGGTCTTACAGTCTTAGTTCTATATAGTACACCATTGCCATTGTACTCTAAGAATGCTGTATTCTGTTTCTGTGGCTAAGACAGTGTAAAGAAACACACTTTTATCTCTCTCTGAACTTACCTTTTGGATGGCTAAACAGAAGGAACAAAAGAGGGAAAGGCTTCAGTTCATTAACAATGAACATAGCACTGAAACACTATGTGTTGATATATCAAAGCTGGTGTGCTTTCAAGTTATCAGGAAAGGTAAAAGTGTGAGCTGTGGGACAGATCTTTTACTGTGAAGAGGATTTACAAGACTTTACATAGCACATCACATTCCTAGACTATCCAAAATTACTTGTGAGTTTTGTGCAACTTGAATATTACTGAATACATTTGTGTTAGGTCCCAGACTAACTGCTATAAAATACAACAAAACTCATTCCTTCTCTTACGTTATAAAAAGGAATTAAGTAGCCAGTAATTATTCTTAAAATAGCCTTTAATATATCCTTTTCAATCCTACCTACATTGTTTCCTAGGATCTAAATGCTGTTGCATTCAGATTTAAAGATAAAGAACGCCCACGAGGTTATACATCAAAGCTTGGAGGAATGCTGCACGTAAGTGTGGGGGTTTTTGTTTGGTTTTTAGTATGGTTGGGTTTTTTTTACAATGTAGTAGTCATTTAACAGTATGATTGGTTATAATCTTAATAAGTACAGGTATTTGCAAAGGTCCTCTGCACTTCTTGAGCTTAGGAGGCCAATGTTGTGCTGCATAAATCTTTGTTTTGACAATCAGTAAGTCACATTTCCTTCACATTCTACCATTTTATACTTCTGTACTTGGTAGAACTGATTTTACAGTAACTGGAGCTCCTAGCTGGTCTGTTTCAGTGTTTCTTAAGATACATGTGCCTTGTTATTCTGTCTCTGATAGCTAACTGTTCTCTAGAGAAATGTTTTATCATAAACACAAGCACCATGTTTCTAAATGCTTCCACCATTAACAATGTTGAAATACTGCAGCAAGCAGAAATGTTTGTATTAAGACAACAAATCAGAAATGTTTGGCTCTACTAATGTAACTATGTACTGGTACCGAAAGAATCTTCACGTAGCTTATACTTAGTCTTTGTACTTCCTGCAAAGTTTAGATCCCTCATTTTGCAGTAAAGGAAAATTTAGGCAGGTTTGTTTTTTTTAGTGAAATTCACGCAACTTTTATACATTGCAAACATTATCCGTTGCACAGCTAACATTGACATCTGCTCAGAAGCATTTTTTGTTTCTTTGCAAGAGTTCCTGTTAATGCTTTTACAGCTGCAATTTTTGAAGTCTAAAGTGGTGATCTTTAATTTTAGAATTGTCTTTCTGTTTATTAAAAAGCATTAGACTTAACTGAAAACATTTAAATGAATATTAAAAAGAGCTCCTAGTTGGGATGCTGTCTGTTACTTTTGTTCTGTCAAAAGCATAAAATCTCTTTAACAAATGGACTTATGACTGACTTCCTGAAACAGTCTTTCAATGGTCTATATTTGTTGGATCATTCCTGATTACAAACGCTATCTCTAAAACTCAGGCCAGGAACTTGCCAGCAGTGTTCCAAAGAGTAGGGTATTGATCTAGGACTACGTTTTCTTCACTGCTTTTGATGTGCATTGCACTATGAATGGTAGCTGTGATTATGCTGTTATCTGCTCGTACACTAACATAAAAATAACTTTGCTAGTTCTCTTTATTGCCTCTGAATCATACAGAGTTTATATGTTGAGTTAACCAAGCTGGAACTGTAGTTTGGTGATTTCATGTGCTTACAAATGCTGTTTGTTTTCCATAACTTGGAGAAGAACCTGAGTATAAGTTAGGATGAATAAATGTAATGTTGTAAGCTGTTGAGTATTTACCAAAAAGATTTTAAAAAACTTTTTACTCAAGAAAACAGAAGTTTGTCTTTAAAGTGCATTTTTGCTGGCCTAAGGAGTCACCACTAAGGTCTTGCTGTCAAATCCTGTTTCATTTTTATTGTGTGTAGGCTTGATGTTTTCCACCTTGTAGTTGTTCCCGGGTTTGCAGTGTCCTGTTGTTTTGTCTCTTGATTGGATGATTTTTAAAATTTAATTTTAATCTGATTGTTGTATCTAGATTGTTTTAGTCTGTTTTATTTCAGTTACGTTATGCTCTGAGCTTGCTGAAAAGTAATCACAGAATCACAGAATGGTTGAGGTTGGACTGAACCTTGGGAAATAATCTTTTCTAACCCTCTTGCTTAAGCAATACAAAAAATAAGAAAGTAACCAAATACATTTCATGTTCAATTCCAATTGACTGGAAGACTGTGCCCTGTGTTTCTAAAGGAAATAAAATGTAGACTTTTGGTCACTAGATCTGTATTGTCTTGGTAATCCCAGACTAGAAGTGCATAAATTACTTCAAAATCTCTTCATGTTGCTTAGACTGCTTTAGCCTTTTATGCAGAATGTAGTTAAATGAGCTTTCTTCAGTGTACAATGAATCTTTGGGACAAGGCCTTTCAAATTCTGGATCTTTAGCATTCACAGCATGTTAGGGGTTGGGAGGGACCTCTGGAGATCGAGTCCAACCCCCCTGGCAGAGCAGGACCATCTAGTCTAGGGCAGGTCACACAGGAACACATCCAGACGGGTCTTAAAAGTCTCCAAGGCAGGAGACTCCACAGCCTCCCTGGGGAGCCTGTTGCTGTGCTCTGGAACCTTACAGTAAAGAAGTTCTTCCTCATGTTGAGGTGGAACTTCCTGTGCTCCAGCTTGTCCATTGCCCCTTGTCCTATCGCAGGGCATAAGTGAGAAGAGGTTGCCCCTTCCTTCCTGACACCCAGTCTGCATATATTTCTACACATTAGTTAGATCCCCCCCTTGGCCATCTCTTTAGACTAAAAAGCCCCAGGTCTCTCAGCCTCTCCTCATACGGCAGGTGTTCCAGTCCCCCACTCATCTTCCTCACCCTCCAAGGGACTCTCTCGAGTAGATGGAATTTTTTGTAACACAGATTTGGTTCGTCGTCCTTGGTCTCCACCCCTTCTGACCCTTCCCCTTTTCTGAAATCCTTTGTGTGAGTTACTCTGTGTTCTGGAATTCACACCACTGTAGTTTTTTGTATAATACATGCAATTCAGAAAGCCATTTCATAGTAACTCTGGTCAAAAAAAAGTACACCTATATGGCAAACTGCAAGCACTTCTTGCTTAGGCCATCTGCTGTTTTATTTCTTGGTAAACAGATGTTTATCAGCAAAGTTTTCCTGCGAACTACAGTAATGATTTTCAGATGAACTTTAAGTGTTTTTGTCTTCTAAAATTGCAATGTGCCTTAAGAGGTTTTAAGGTTGACCCTAAATAAAAAAAATAGTTAAAACTGTGTAAATTTGTATTATGCTCTTAAATAACTGTAACATACTTTCCTTTAAGTTACTGTAAATAATAATTGAATCCTAAAATAAAGGATTTTTTTTTTCTTTGCTATGTTGTGTTTTTCCCAAATACACTCTAATGAGTATTTGGAGTTCTTTTATCTTTAAAAATATCCTCCAGGGGTCAGCATTTACCATATTTTTTCTTCAGTTACTTCAAAGCAGTATTTAAAGGTGGATGATGTTTATATTGAGATATAATATATTTCAGTGTAGTATGTAGAATTACCTAATGTAGGAGAAATATGATTGCATAGTTAGTGTACTATTCCATCTTGATTAGTTTAAAGAGAAAGACATTAAGACATCTATGCACTTCAAATTAGAAATTACTAAAGTAATACAGATTTAGTAAGCAGAAGTATACACTTTCAGTTCCTTTACAAAACTAGCTTTTTTCATGCATAGTTTTTGTTTAACTCATCTACATGTTTCTGGGCTTTGTGTTTTAGTATTATCCTATAGAAGAAGTACTGGCTGCTGAATATTTGCTTGAAGAATTCAGGCCTGATTTAATAGAGATGGTACTGGATAAATTGAGACCAGAAAATGTTCGGTAAGTTAAACTGCAATAACTTGTATTCTGTGCAAAGCATTGTAAGAAAGCAGATGAACTAATGGAAACACAAACTCTTAGGAGTCTCTTACAGCTCCAAAGTAAACATCACTGAAAAAGAGCTAGTTGTTCTGTGTGTTAATGTCTCTGCTCCCCATTGAAAATAAGCACTCTTAAGTGTATGCAACTCCTCCCGTTGAGACAGAAACATCCTTTCAGTCCTTTCTGTGCAGGATGTCTTCCTCAGACTGAAATAGTTTCTAGGGAGATACTTACTTTGAATAGCTCAACTGTTACTGGGAAAAAGTCTAGAAATTATCCTTTTTCACTGAATTCTTGGGACATTTCATATGCAATGCTCTAATACTCATAATTTGGAGCTAGGTCTGGAAATTTCTTAAATGAATGGCTTTTATCTGCTGTATGTATTTTTATTTGCCCTATGGAAAGCTACAGAACTTTGTGCAGATTAGTGTACCCTCTGAAAAATACCAATTTATGTGAGTAGAAATAGGTGTGTTTTTAGTTGCTAAAATCTCTCAGGCTTCAGAGCATCTCTTTGATATGAGTGTAACCAATACTGCTTGTGTGCTTGCCTTGCCGAGTGAGTGTGCTGCAGTACAAATTTCAGGGCTCAGTAACTGGTCAGACTAGATACTGAAAGGAAAAGGGGAAGCCTCTCTCTCATGTGCTTTTCAGGATATTCTGTTGTCACCCAAGCAGAGTAGAATGTGATTTATAAGTGAAGAAATCTGGAAGCTGTAGAGAAGACAGTGAGGGCAGGTGGAAAAGGGGCATATTAACTGAGGAGGAAGGGCTGAGCAAATGGTTAATGAAGGGAGGAAGAGCCTGGGATGAGAGCTGGCAGAGAACATCATGGGCTGATACTGGTAGCCAGTGGGGAACTGGTATCTGAGTCAAGGATGGATAAAAGGTCTGGCTAGTGAAACTGCTGGGGATGGTCAAGTGTAGATTAGACCAAAAATTGACAGGAGGATAGGAATTGAGACTAGTAGGCACAGCAGAGGTAAGAAACCAAGTCTAGGGAAAAAGTTTGTCAGACTTAGCTAGGATATTAAACTTGGAGTCCTGAATCATGGAAACGGGGTGAATAGAAGAGGTCTGAGACAAGGAGCCTGAGACAGGATAGCAGCAGAACTGTTGGGACCAAAGTGGGAGGAACTGAGCAGAAAAGCTTGTGCAGACAGTGCAGTATAGTGCACAAAGGGCAAATAAACTAAAGTTTACCAAGTCTTCCTAATTTTTTTGCAGATGTACGCTTAATTTTTTTTTTCTTGTCTCTCATACAACTTCTGTTCCAGTTCTTACAGAATAGAAATATTCTGGAATTGTATGATAAGATCCCAGTACCATGTGTTTCTGTTTCTGACCTACCAGTGCAATTGGAAGGTGTGTAATGACAGTAACAAAAAACTGCAGTAAAAGAAAAATACATATTTAAGGTTAAGACTGTTTAATGTTGCTCAGAAGATCTGAACTCCTTCTTTGCTTTGTCAAAAGCTTCCTAAATGACATGATACAAGCTCTTAAAACAAACTTCTTACAGCAAAACAGTAATTACTCATTCCTTTTTATTTTCTTGAGTATGCGCAAGGCCTAACTGCAGGGGCTACTAAGCTCATGAATCCACAAACAACAGAAGCTTTGCTTTTAATCTTTGTGGTACTATACAATGCAAAGAATTCTAAAATGCTTTCATAAAAAAGTCATAAAAAATAAAAATTTCATAAAAAACTTTCATAAAAAGCATCTAAAATGAATGGGTACTGTATAAATTTGTGTATCTCTAGATTCCTTGGCTTCCTATGTATGAAAATAATGTCTCTTGGGATATTTTAGAATATTAAATTAGTTCCTGTAACATGGAAGAGACATTTTAGTAATTCCATTTATTTAGAGAAAGAGGTGAATATTGCAAAGAGAAGTCTGGTCATTCACTGAGCAAAACATAAAATACTGAATAACTGTTTCTTAATGGTTCTGTGCCCTGAAGAGGGCAGAGGTTCAATAGGATGCTGTGTAAGTTTGTACGTGTGCGTGTGTATACGTATGCATGATGTGATACAGTCTTGTTTACTAGAAGATTGCAAGGGCAGCAGTTATACTAGCACTCTTTTCGTGGTGTGTTTTTTTTTTTCAATTTGGTTCTTTTAATATGTCTTTTTTTGTATTTTGTAATAAATTGTAATATAAAATTAGTAGTGTAGAAATATTAAAATGTATGAAAACACAGAAAAGCTCTTGCTTATGATTCTGTATATCTGCCTTACTGTATCTGAACACATATTTATTGGTGTTTTGGAAGTCCGGTATATGGTACAAAGAATGGGTTTTTGAGTGGGTCTGTTTCTGAATGAAATTTTCGTAAAACATTGGATATAGAAGGACAGTGAGGCATGCATTCATATATTTCTAGAGTTTATATATTTCAGCCTTCTGAAGTTACTGAGAATTACTTAAAAGTTTGGGCCTGAATCGTCACTATACATGTATGAAAAAAATCTGTCATGTATATTTGTTCAGTTTAAGATGCATGCCACTATTTTCAAAAGATGGTACATTTCAAATAGTTATTGGATAAAGTAGGATAAAAGTAGATTTTTAAATGTATTTGCAAATGTCATGGAGTTCTGGTGTTTTAGGGATATACAAGTAATGATAAAATAAATGGAGCTGCCTAGTTGGTGACAGTAGTTGCCATAGTAATAAATACCCTTTAAAGAAGAGCCTATATCTTTGTGCGTGGGCGTGGAGCTATGTGTAATGTGTGTGGGCTATTGCCACTGAAGCTTGGATATTTCAAGAGTTGATTTTTTTGAATAAACAATACTTTAAAGAAAATTTCCAGTTTCTCTTTCTTATTGTATTAAATAGTTCTATTTTGAATCTGTGTTGATGTTGATCTACTACCCAACTTCTTAGAAATTGATACAAGATGTTACCCTGAACATAAAGACTGTTTTTAATAATTGGAAGACAGAATATACAATTAATTCCTCTCTGAGGAAAGTTTAACAAGTTCAAATTCCACATGAATTTGAACTTGTAACTGGTTTTAGGATTGCTTACAAGCAATGGGTAAACCATTTTTCTTATACTGATCTAGTAAACAAGATACAGGTGCTTAATCAGATCTGATATTTGTTATATCTTCACATAGCTTTAAAATGTGGTTCTTAACATTCCAAGAAAACAGTCAATATTATCTTAGGGAAATTTACCTTTCTTAATGTAAATTGGGTCTTTGTTATTAGTCAGAGAACCTCCAAAGGCTCTGCTTGCTTAATTTCCTCTAGCAATTTTTAAAAAATTAATAGACTCTTCAAGTTTATCAGGTGCTGCTGGATGCCACAGGCCACTTTCCTGTTGCACAGACCAGTTTCCTGTGTTACTCCTGTTGCTGGCTATGTCAGCCATTTACCACTCCCTTCCAGCTGACAGTACTTCAGCATAAAATAGCAATAATTAATGATGTTCAGAAGTTACTGGTTTGAGAAA